TGTTGTCGAAGCCGCACTTCTTGTTGCAGCAGGTCCAGGTCGCACTGAACGCCTGCTGCCTGCCGCCGCCATTGCGCCCCATGGGAACTGACGGCCGCAGAACTTACAGTAGCCAGACTGTTGGCTGTGAGCGAAAGGAGCCAGGGGCGCGGGGCCGCGCGGCGGCGGGCGCCGAGGCACTCCCGCCCGGCGGGGAGCCGCCGCGCTGCGTCGCCCGCCGCCGCCGGTCGCTGCCGTCGGCGGCCGTGGGTCACACGCGCGCGACGCCGAGGCGCCCGGAGATCCGACGCTCCGGCGACATCCCCCCCTCCTCCTCCTCCTCCTCCTCCTCCTCCTCCTCCTCCTCCTCCTCCTCCTCCCCCGATGGCGACCGCAGCGAGACGCGCGCCCTGGCATCCCGCGCGCTGGGGCAGCCCCGGCAAGGGCACGCCGAGGCCGCGGTGCCAGGACCTCGCGATGCAGGACAGCGAGTGCGGGGACAGCGAGTGCGAGGAGCGCCCGGGCGGCGGGTCCGTCGCCGATGTTTCGGCCTCTGGTGGCCCTCGCGGGGCCTCGGGACCGTCAAGAAGCGCCTCGGGGCGAACAGCCGGCCCGAAGGAGGTGGTCTAAAGACCTCCGGGGGGCACGCCCCAAAAAAAGATCGGAGCGGCCGGATGGCTGGGAGCGGGTCTTACGCGCGATGGCACAGCGACCTTGCGCGGTGGCTGACGAGGGCCGCCTGCGCGGCACGCTGCACTGGAGACGAGGGCGCCTACGCGCAGTTTCACGCGGGATGCTTACGCGGCAATGTCGGAGAAGACGACCCCGTTATTCTGCGTCGGTGACGCCCTCCCTCCCTGCTTCGGACGACTTCGGAAGCAACAACTCTTGGGAAATCCCCGCAAGTACGATTCGGAGCCATAAAGCCCGATCAAGCGGCAGCAGAGCCGCACTGAGCCGGGCAAGGCCGGGATTCAGCCAGATCAGGATCAATGGGGTTGAACGGAATAAATCCGGATTATGCCGGATTTGGCCGGGACCAGTGCTGAGTCGGACGGAGTAGGCGGGACTGAGCCGGATCGAGCGGGATCAGGCCGGGTTGAGCCGGCTTTCGACCACGGGAACACCAGCGCCGACGCCGAATTACCATCCCAGGAGTTGCATCCCTCTCCCTCGTCCACATTGCGCCTGCCGAGCTGCTGGACAGCACTGGCCAGGGCCTCCGGAGACGGGGAGGGGGGTTGCTCGGCTCCCGGCTCGAGGAGCGTCTTGGAACTGGCAGGGCCCTCCTGGCCACCGCCACACAGCGCCTGCACGCCTGCACTGGACGGCACTCAAGCAAGGGGCGAGAGGGACGGGGACGTGAGCAACTCTGGCGCACTCAGCCAGCGCGGGCCTGCTTTCTGATCATTCGCGATGGCACCCGTGACGAGTCCCGCCCCCACCCCTCCCCCACCTGGTCGCGTCACGACTCGCGCCGGTGCCGTCTGGGAATGAGCAACTCTTAGGTATTCCCAGACGGCGCCGGCGCGAATCGACGTGACCGCCTTCTCCCCCCCCCACACGGCCCTCCCCCCCTCCCCCCCACCCGATCACGCCCGTTATCGCCAGTGGACCTTGGAGAAAGAAGAGGAAGGAAGAGGAAGAGGGGCGACGGAACGAGGAGAGAAGGGGAAACGTCAGGGGGGGGGACCGGCTCATGAGGGGGAGATATCGGTCTGGAATCGGACCTAGGTCCCCAGGCCCAGGTCTGGAACAGGAAGCAGTGTCAAACACCTCTTTCGCCGGCGGCGCTGGCGGTCGCAAGCGCGTTTGTCGAGCCAGCGGGTCGCGACGGGCACGGGGCACGCGGTCAGACACGAGCGGCCCATACAACGCCATCAGTAGCGAAGCGGGCTACACGGCGCGCGCACCGCGCAGCTGCTGCCCCAGAATCGGCGCCCATCTGGTCGAAGAGCCCTGACGCGACCGGCATCTAGAGGGTTCGGGATTGCAATACGAGCCACAAGGTTGGGCCTTGGAGCACCATGTGGGACCTGCTGTAAAACATGAACATACCGAAGACGGATCTACCCTTTCTCCAAACCTGTACTGCGCAGAACGCAACGGCCGAGTTGTCCATGAACGTGTCCACCCCCAATGCCTCTATGGACGTCACGACACCCGATGTTTCCATAGACGCTTTTGGCTAGAACGTAAGAACGGTATTTGGCACTGGCCCCAAAGATTGGCCTTCCAAATTGGGCCGAACGCGACACGAAGTGGCGAGGAGAGAGGGAGGAAGGAGGGGAGGGTTGCAGGCGCCCGCAAGGGGGCGGCGCAAGGGGGCGGCCTTCTCAGAAAACAAAGGGGCCTCTTACAAGCAAGGAGTCTGCTTAGAGGGAGCGAGATCCCTTCTTTGAAGGAGTGGAACTTGGATAAACACGAGGAAGACATAAGAAAAACGATAAAAAAAAGTCAAGGAGCACCGAGACCCTCCCCGACGAAAAGGGCTCATCCTACAGCGGCCCGACTGCATCCT